CCAAGATGCGTTCTCTATGATGGGGAGGTGGAGACCTTGGAGCACACATCTTTCATTGCAAGTTCGTACTCAAGTTGCACAAGTTTACTGAAGGTATCGTGGGTCGCATGCTGCGCGGAATGTTTTTTCATCATCGAGGACAGTCCTGTTTGTAGCAATGTAGTACCACGGTTGATGAAGGCTGAATACTGTGTGTCCTTTTGTTTGCTAGGCCTTATCAGAGTCGCCATTTGGAGGACACGTCAGAAGGAATTCTATGCGGCGAGAAGTTCACTTCTTCCCAAGTGATACGGTTCTTTAACTATCTGCTTAAACTCACGATTAGGAATGAAGGAAATCTCCCTCCATCAGAATTTGGCAAAGATGGGTGAATCTAGCGTGTTTCTGTAGAGTAAGAGTGGCCGATGAAGAGTGGCACTTTAACGCAGGCTAGGTATTACAGATTTTGTTCTACTGAATTGAACATTAAAAACCCAGTCCCAAATTAGGTTAGCTTAGGCTTCTTTCTTTGTCTTTAGTTTCTTCCTTAAGTGTTAACTTAGCTAGCGGATGTGTGTCCATTTGGCCATTTTTTATTTCTACCCAAATTTTCTTTAGTTAGGTGACCAAAGATGTCAGTTTTTTTGGTGGATACGATACGCCTTTCGTATTTCAGGTGTGATTTTCGTTTTTGATGTTGTGTTTGAAACAGTATCTGATTGTATGAGTGTTTGAACTAATGATTGTTTTATATTATTAATGTCCCGCATTAATTTCTTCCAGGTAACTGATGTTTCTGCCACTATTAAGTATTGTGAGGGATTATAACTAACACACTATAATTTACTTTCTTGCAAATAGATTATTACATATTGTAAATACACAGTGGAATTTATATTATAAAATTATTCCACCCACAGATATGAATGTTATATATGATGACTAATAATGATTCATAGAGGTATTATAGTGGATGTAGTAAGAAGGGTTCAGAGGAATGTGTTGTTTTGGTGTTAGAAATATTGTGGTATGTGTGCGTCAGCCTTTGTGACTAAGTTTAAACAGAAAACCATCCTTTCTCCATTCCCCCTTTTTGGCCTTTTTCCACATGTTTGTAAATTTTACAACATAAATATTGTTCGTCGCTATGATACCTATATTTTTTAAAAATTTAATCGCAGTACTTGACTGGCGTGTAAAGCTCATCAATTTACAGCTGAGCCGGCGAGATATAGTAGTAAATTTTATGCTAACAGTTTTTTTTTTCTCGCACTTCTACTTGGTGAATCTCCCTTCCAGTTCCAGGTAAACCAGCCAATTTTAATCTGCAAAAATTTAAATGCAATGTCAATCGCTATCTAGTGTCCTCTTAATTACTCTTTTCTCTTCTCGGTTATCAGTAAGGTTTCTGTTCCTAATTCTTCCACACTCAGTAGCCCATTGCATCTTAGTGGCTTTACTGCCTTGCCTGAGGCGAAATAGATTAAAAAAAAAACTAATTGACAAATACAAACCCTACATACATCTACCTTTAGACGCTATTATAAACTCCGTCTTGTGAATGACGGTAAACTACATGCGCGTGCTGGGTAAGACGATAAACTACGTCCAACAGCAAGGCGTCTGATCAGGAGGTTTTGAGGAGCGTGGAACTGCCTCTTAATTGCTGGTGTTCCCAGGTTCACCCTGACCCGGAGTGGTAGCACCTGTTAGCGTCCAGCTATGGGAAAATAGTTAACACCCAAACTTGTGGAAAAATAGGTTTTAATACCAGAAATACTTTGTAAAAAAAAAATATTACCAGCAATAATTGTTGAAGAAAAAATATTATCAGCAATACTTAAAAAAACCCAGCAATACAAACAGCTATACAATCTTTGGAAAAAATATGACCACCTATAGATTTCTTCAAGGAAAATATTCCCAGAAATGGATTTTTGAAGAAAAACATTACCGGCAATAAAAATGTTATCGGCATTAAATAACCCATTCAGGTTGATATGCCGTAAAATAAAACCAAACCAAACCAAACCATTAGTATAAACTGGACGATGCCTCTTTTTATAATTAGTGTAAATCCGATCTGCCACCTCCTCTCGCGTAATTCTGTGTTATTTGTTAACTACAAATCATATATCCAATATTTAATAACTCAGCAACTGTTGACATCGTTACATCAACAGAATCTAAACTAACAATTATAATAGATTACTTAACATTCTATAACCTACATTTTTCCATAATCTATAAGATATTTCAGTCGTTGATAATCTTTGCTGATGTTCTGACATTAGAATTAATATCATGCCATCGACGGGATTGGTGCGATCTTAGATATGCAGGTGGATTCATAATCTCTTGATTAATGTTGTCTTTAACGTTTGGTTGGAATATCAGCCAGATGTGTGGCTCCTTGATGTACGAATCAATTAATCTTGGATATTTGATGTGACAATCTCCTTAACCAGTTGAGGAGCAGTATGTATGTTTGGTATTATCAAAGAGACCCTCTGCTAATCCAACAGGACATTGATCAGTGAGTCCGTCCCCGGGGGTTAATCGAAAGAAAGATGTCATTACGTCACCGACTGATGTTGAAGAAACGAATATAAATATGTAGGTAACAAAACCATTTCCATTCGGGAAATGGGACGAAAAAACTAACATATATCCTCAGCCTACGAAACGGGTGACCCTAACTTTTAAAATCTGCATCCTTTTTTCACGTACCCACCAGTCGTAATCTTTGCCTCTCGAACCTGGAGCAATTAAGTTCTAATCTGACAGGTACTTCCCAATGATTTATGTATTTTCTTTTACATTTAACGTTAGTCATTATCTCCAATGTGTTCCTCTCTAATCATTAAATAATTTTCTGATACGTCCTGCTATATTCTATCTTTGCAAAAGCCACGCTCAGGCCAAAAAAAGGGAGTATTGCTGCCATAACTGGGTTCACAGAATTCAAAAGTGCCTAAGCGGCCTTGTGGGCGATGAATAATCTCCGAGTCCACAACCCCTTTCCCATAGATGCAGCGTTACAGAGCCTCTCGCTAATCTATTGTTCATTTTTTCTTTGATCAGTTCACCCGAAGCAAGGCAATAATGCCACTAAGATGCAAGAGCTACTGGGAATGAAAAAGAATTCTTGTGTTAATTTACCCACGGACGCATGGACTCTGCCATCTATAAATAGGAACAGGTACTTTATTTTGGAGAGGGAATTTTCCAGCAGTAGGCCCTGACACTCGGACCGAACATTCTTGCTGTAACACTTTCGTTTGTATATGTTTGTATTACTGTTTCTGTTAGTATATTTGTTTAACTCAATTCCTCTATTTGTGTCTTTATTTCTGGTCCTAACAAGGCAACAACAATAATGAAAAGAATTTAGAAGGGAAATTATATATATGGGAAATGTTTTAACAGAGAACAGAAAATGTGAAACTGAAAGCAAAAATGCCTTCCAAAAGCTAAGCACACTGCGGAGAAATAGTAAAACTTTGCTATAAGCAAGGGAAAGAGTTCTGAAGAGTCACGTGATATCTATCCTGCAATATAGCCGCGAATGCTAGACCATCCCATCAAAGATAGGTTTGACACAATGTTGTTCTAGAGAAGGATGCTAAGGATATCATGGACAGAATGTATAAGCGACGAAGAATTTTTAGTGAAAATGGAAGCAGTAAGGAAACTAATATATAAAACCTTGAGAAAGTTGAGTTTTCTTGTGTACATAATGAAGAAGGAGGGCTTGGAAAATCTGATACTCACAAGACAGGCAGAGGGTAAAATGGTCAGATACAGGGTAAGAAAGACAGAAAGGGGGCAAGATAGACAGATTGAGGACTATAGAAACAGATTGATGACTAGATAAACAGATTGAGGACCAGAAAGGCAGATTGAAGGCAAGAGGGATGTACAGAGAGCAAGACGGAAAGATTGAGTGCAAGAGAAACAGATTGAAGACTAGAGGAACACATTGAGGGCTAGAAGGGTAGATTGAAGGCAAGAGGGGTGTACAGAGGGCAAAACGGACAGATTTAGTGCAGGAGAAACGGATTGAGGACGAGAGGAACAGATTGAGGCCTAGAAAAGCAGATTGCAGGCAAGAGGGATATACAGAAGTAAAAACGGACAGATTGAGGGCAAGAGAGATAGAGGAAAACAACGCATGCAGTACTTGGTGAGCTTGATTAAATGTATTGCGGAAAAGGGCTTAGGAGAAATAATAAAAATACAACATTTATTAAGAGTTATAAAGTACAGGATGTTGTGGAGAGTCATGATTGCCTACTCCCTGACGGACATGGCACATGAAAATGACCGTTTCAGTTATACAAGTCTTACTAATTAACCCAAAGATTCATTCATTTCTAAGAGTATTTACGCGGAAGTGAATTTAAATTAAAATCTAATAGAATTGGCACTCTGCTCTCTGAATATAATTCGGTGTCATTATCCACTAAATCACCCAGATAATCATAGCTGCAATTGCTGATTATTGCAAAGCTATTTAACCCACTGGTGGTGGGTAGAAGAGGTGGATTCTTTTCTTTTCCTAAGGCCATTTGTGCCCATTTGAATATAACAATACTGATTAGATTTTGAACCACGCTTTCCAGTTTCCTAGTGCCACGTGAATAATTCCAATACATTATAAACAAAACACCACCCACATATCCAAGCATACAGCATCTTGTAATTCCAAGTGACCATCCTTCGAAGTGCTGACCAGTGTCGCTTAATTTCAGTGATCGTACGAGAAATGTTGTTTGAACGCGATATGGCCGTAATACATACCACACACATCCAGTGTTACAGCACCTGGAATTACAACGAGATATGGCCGTATTGAATACCACTTACACATCCACGCTTAGAGCACATGGTGCTCCCAAGCAGTCACTGATCTAGGTCCTGACCTTGCTCAACGAAGCTTAATTTCGGTGATCGTTACGGGAAACGAGGATTCAAAGCGATATGGCCGTATTGAAAACCACTCACACATCCACGCTTAGAGCACATGGTGCTCCCAAGCAGTCACCGATCTAGGTCCTGACCTGGCTCAAGGAAGCTTAATTTCGGTAGTCGTTACGGGAAACGGCGTTTCAAAGAGATATGGCCGTATGGAATACCACTCACACATCCACGCTTAGAGCACATGGTGCTCCCAAGCAGTCACTGATCTAGGTCCTGACCAAGCTCAACGTTGATTAATTTCGATGATCTTAGCGGAAACTGTGCTTCAATGTGAGATAGCCGTAAGCCATAACACACCCACATCCAATCATATATAAACGGCGTTTTAACGAGATATGTCTGTAAACCATAACACACGCACACACGAACGCACATACACACATTCAGCTTATAGACTATGGTATTCATAAGCGGTCAACGATGTAGATACTGACCAGTATCAACGTTGCTTAATTTCAGTGATCGTACGAAAACGCTGTTTCAACGAGCTAACTCTAGTATGGATTACCACTCACACATTCAAGCTTACAGCACCTTCTATTCCCAAACGTCACCGATCCAGGTCCTGACCAGGCTGAACGTTGCTTAATTTCGGTGATCATACGGGAACTGTTGTTTATCGAGATATACCCATAAGCCATAACGCACACAAATCCAAGCTTACAGCATCTGGTATTCCCAACCGGTCTATCTGCTGACCAGACTCAATGTTGCTTAATGTAGGTTGTTGAACGAGAAAGTTGCTCCAAAGAGATAAGGCCGTAAGCCATAGCACACACACACATCCAAGCGTACATCAACTGGTATACCTAAGCGGTCACCCATCTACGTGCCACCAGGTTCAATGTTGCTTAAATGTTGCTTAAGCCGAAATTTTGTTGAAAATCAATCAATGAAAATGTTTGAGCAACTCTAATCGAAATATAAAAAGTCAGGTGTCACTTATACAGTAGAGCAGGATACCAACTCCGCTGTCCCTGCTATCTATTCATGGTGTAAGAATACTGAAGGCAATTATCTCTCTTTGGTGGAAATAAGTTCTGTGAGTCACATGACGACCACTTCGTCACATCACCCCCTACACTGATGAAAGCGGCAATCATTTTGCAGTTCGGGGACAGCAACGAAACAAGAAGGCTGCTTTCTTCAAGCTAAATTTGCCTACCTAGCAGATAGTGATGTTTCACTTTGGGGAATAGATGAATTTGGAGACACTACTGACCTGGAGACGGTTTTTTAGGACACAAGATTTAAACATCTAGTGTCCTGAAAATGGCGTCTCCAGGTCAGGAGTATCTCAAATTATATAAGACGTTTTTTTCTTTTTATTCTTCTTTATACTTTACTATGTGATAAAACGTTATATATATATATATATATATATATATATATATATATATATATATATATATATATATATAATTTTGTGTACAACTGAGAACAAAGCATGTTTGTTATTCTTTTTTTTCTTTTCAGCCATTCCGTTTCGCCCCGTCCGTCACCTGCTGTGTTATTATATCACGGATATAATACTGCCAATAACGTGAGAAAAAAATGGTGAATAAATTTTTCCTCCTCTCGTTAGAATGGTATTTGGCTCAATAACACTACCGGATTTTGTTAGAAAGAAAGGTAGCAAATTACGTGTTGGCACCAATGTTTTTTGGTAAATGTCGCTCAAACTTTGAAAGATTCGTGCTGATAAGTATTTGTTAATAGCTCTCTTGCTTATGGTGAGATATTGTCAAGATTAAATTTAGTTTCAATTTGAAAATTTACCGATTGTTTGTATGCGTGTATTAGTCCCAACCTAATCTCAGATACGGTGATCTTTTTCTAAGATTGTCTTATACATGACGCAAGAAATAAAGTATGGCGCAGCCAATGCATCACATCTGAGTTATGTAGAACAAGGTAGACATAAATGACGTAATTTAAGTTTCTTGCAGTTTTAATTCTAAGAAATATATTAGTATTTTTATATATAAAATTCTCTATAATAAAATTCGATATCTGTCTATATATCTGATATAAGGTATTATTGTACACCATTTACATTAATTCTTGAAGGCACATGGCACAGTGGATAAAGTCTGGAAACCAGTCTAATTTTCAACTCATACGCCTGGTCTAGGTGTTAGCCTCCGCTCGGGTACTTCAAGGTATCTCAGTTTCTTAGCTTCTATATTAAAATTAGATTAAAACTTCCGTCTGGAATAGAAAAGTTTTTTCCCAAAATAATTAACGGGGAAACGGTTAAATTAACACATCTCTTTGCAGGATTTGTGTTTGTTAGAACTCTAATACCCAGAAATTCATACACAGATGTCCTTAAGGACACATGGCACAGTGGATAAAGGCGTTGGTTAGATACAGTGACAGGATCCAAGGAGAAATAATAGAAATACAAAGTTTATTAAGAATTATAAAGTACAGGATGTTGTGTTGCGAAAATGACCGTTTTTCTTCCTCTTACATGTGCTATTCATTTTAGTTCTTGCTGCTGTCTAATGGCGTCAAGTGATGTGGATTCTTTTAATTAGTTGAGTTGTTTGCTTATGATTCTGTCGAACCAGTCCATGGGGTTCGAAGAAGGATTGTCCTAAGATGTACAGGCTGCATTCGCTAGAAGCCATCTTTTAATTATTGATCTGAGAAAGAGATTGTGTACGGATGATGGTACAGATATATTTGATCTAGTTTTGTGCCATGCATGGCATTATTATGAAAGTCACAATCTGACGGGAGATATTTAAGAAAGTAACAGATTTTTACGGTAATATTTTAGTTTTGTAGCAACTTGCGGTATTGGGAAAAACTAAACCTGGCGCAGCCTATTCTGCGTTCAATTTCTTTATCTCCTATACTTAATTTGATATAACTAATCCGTACAACGAAATATTTTAAGTATCTATTTATCATTATTATTATTATTATTATTATTATTATTATTATTATTAGTAGTAGTAGTAGTAGTAGTAATAATGTATACACATTTCAGATAGAGTACATCTTTAAAAGGAGAATATGAAGAAAGACAAAAGTAAAACATATCTTAGCTGACGCATTTCGTCTTCTGAGGGACATTATCAGGGCAAATATAAGTATTTTTTCATTTATATAAAAGAGCAAAAAATGTTATAGCTTTTCTTTACATATTTTTATATATAAATGCTTGTCACAAAATAAAACCCTGAGTCTTGCTTTGATAAAATCCCTCAGAGGACGAAACGCGTCGGTTAAGATATGTTTTCTTTTCGTCTTCATCAATAATAATAATAATCATAACAATAATAGTATTTAGCTGTTATTATAGCAAATGCTATGACCACGATATATATATATATATATATATATATATATATATATATATATATATATATATATATATATAATATTTTTTTAGTTTAAGGATATATCCCTTTAGGATATAGACGATAATGTTTATCCACAAATTCCTTTTCTTTATTATCTACTAATTGCAATGAAAGTAAGATGGTACATTGATTTTCTTTACTTTAGTGAGGTTGCCAGTCAGAGCTAGAGAACCTAGTCTACTCTGCTGTTTAGCCTTAAGCTACGGTGAAGGGAAGTGTTCGTTTCATGCCTTTTCCAATGGAATTGTGCGACAGTGAAATCAAAAGAAATTTTTTATGTTAAATTTTTAAAATAATATATCATTTGTGGAGATAGGTAATCATGGCTCTCCTCAGCTTCCTCTTATTTATTATCTATGGAATTGGCGTAGTTTTCTGTTTCCACTTGTTTTATCCCTGGTTTGTAATTCAGAGTTATACTTATCTTAGACCTGTTGTCATCTAAGGTCAGAGGTCACAGTCTAAACTGCACTTTAAGCCAAAAATAACACGATCAGAAAAGACAAGAATAATATTCATTTTTGAAAAGTTACGAATTATGTGATTTCGATGTGATCAGTGTTATCTTAAATATGCAGACGGTATTGTTGAAAACTTAACCAGTGAAATTTCAGAGGATTAGTAGGGGACCTATATGGACCTATGGATATTGTCAGCCACCACAGACGGCTCTCAGATTTATGGATGTAAATTCGGGACATTTTATAGGCCATTCACTCGCTCACCAGTGATATTTACGTTCGGTGATTTTCAAAGCGCTTGAGTTTCGACACAACGCACGTGTCCGTATCAATGAAGATTATAAATTTACTATCGCACATTGAACGCCGAGTCAGTCAACCCAGTGAGGGCTGGGGTGGGTGGCTGTTTGGCTGTGGGTGGCTAATCGAAACCAAGAGACATTCAGAATGGCGTCGGGCGTTGAAGTAATGAATATCAAAAGACACGAGACAAAAGAACTTGCATCCCAGAAAATCTAAAAAAAAGAAAGAAAAATATCGAAAAAAGATACGCAAAGCCAGTGCATGGAATTCATAGTATCCTGTTATAGAACCACATTTTCGTAGTTTCCATTTTCCTCTTCATCTATGGCTAGAAGATACAAAAGGATTTATATGATCTAGCATTTTAACACTCCTTTGTTTCTGTTGAAACTTGACTAATGCATGGAATAATAATGCAACACAAAAGGTACTTAGAACAAAATGTATTGAAACAAGAAAGTGTACACAATATTTACATATAGTTTTTGTATATTCCTGGTTAGACCGTTCTTGGAAAATGTGTTGACTGAGTCGCAGTCGGGCAGAGTCTCGAGTTGAATCTCTTGATTCCTCCCTCTCTTCCCGGTACCAACCATATTTATATGGTCGGTACTCCACTATGCAAATTAGGTGGATCCTGCCACAACAGTTTCTAAAGAACTTTTCTGTTTTTTAATACTTTGCTTAGCTTTTGGAATGAATCTTCACCTAATCCGATGCGCGTTCGGTTTTCCGTCTTCTGTTAAAACACTCCCCAGTTATTTAAATTTTATATTCGTAGTTCGCGTGCTAGATCATTTCTCTTACCGACAAATCATATCCTTTGTCTTCTTAGAGTTGATGCCTCGTCCTTTTTTTTCTAAATTTCCTTGTCTAGAAGATTTTTGTGTCAGCCACCAACACTGTGTAATTTGCGTATCATTTTAAGATTGCGCATCCGATAATATATCCTGCAAGGGTCCACACCACCCTTAGCATACCTTCGCCCAAGAGCTGCACAATTCTGA